AACCGGAAAAAAATATTAAAAAAAAAAAAGTCATTTTTTGGGTGAAACATGCTCCCATAGCCCGAGCAAATATCATGTGTGGAATTCACATGTGCGCATGAGTGGTATTCACCCCAACACCACCAAATCCGCGCCAATCTACACCAATCATATCCCCATATCAAAATCTTCTATATATTACCTCTAAAAATGTGCTTGAATCGCCATTCATAGCCATGAAGGTCTTTGGCACACAGCTCCTGGGTTGGAGTTGGCTGCGACATATCCTGATTACGAAAAAAATAAATGATAAAAGATTAAGCGAAACAGACGAGCATACAAACAGGAAATGATAATATGAATTCTGAAAGAAAAAAAAAAAAAGGGAGGGGGAAAGAACGAACCAGTGTGGGAAGGCACTCGTTGGCATGGCGGCGGAGAACTGAAAACCCCCCATGCGTACTTGTATCTGAGGCCGTTAAAATCTTGGAAAACGAATTAACCACCGGCCTCTGTAGCTCTGGGAGACAAGGATCGGCTGTACTCAGCTCGCTTTGCTGTATAAATTAAGGAAAACGAGTTCATTTTCTCTTCAACAGATTCATAAATCATAATCAGCGAGTATACAAAACAACAAACAAAGCCAAAGATTCAAAATATCGGCTAGAAACTTACATCTGCCTCCGGAAGCAAAGTGATCTGTGCATAAACTTCGTCTGTTTCATGCTCAGCCTATTACAAATCGAAATTAAAGAAATTAAAAACTTGCAAAATCAATATAAACTTAAAGAATAGGAATTAAGAACAGGAAAGCAGAGAAGAAAGAAATCTTACCCTGAGCTCTACGTTTATAACGCGACAAAGAATTTTAGATCTTCCGGAGGGAAGATTGAAGAGTGGAATCCGCTCATCCAGCTCCTGATTAGTCGATGCTTCTAACTACACATCCCCATGAAAACCCCCAAATAAAACGCAGTATTCCATCAGAACCCGTATTGTACACAGAAAAGATAAGAGGATAAGAATGGATAAAGAGAAAAACTCCTCACCTGCTCCATGTGACCTTGAGAAAAATAATAAACCCTCTCTCCAACGCGAGGTATCTCGACCAAAGGCCCCGCGCAAGCCCTCCATAGCTCCTCGTACAAAGCATCTCCCACCATCCTTCGCAAACGTTCAGCAAGACCATAAAATTCCAAACTCAATAAAGCAAGAAGCCAAAAGCCACCTTGCTCTGAGATCTCCCACGATTTCAGCTCCCCTTTCCTCCTCTCTGCTTCATAACCAAACCAAGCTCCGCCTTCTCATATGCCGTTCTGTTCTCTCTCTCTCTCCTATTAACTTCACCTCATCAATACTCGAAGTCGAAACATGCCGAATTCGCTTCCGTTTCCTCTCGAGGCGAGACCGAGCACGAGAACGAAGCCCAAATCTCCCACGAGCACTCTACAAGCTCCAACTTTACCTCAAAAAATCTTCTTTTGCAGCAATGTCACTCGCTTTTCTCGCCCCAACACGTGGGAAGACGATTCGATTCGAGATCAAAGTAGGCCTCAATTGAACAGAGCAGACTCGCCAATCGCTGTAACTGCCTTCTTCATTTCTTATTTATGGCCACGAGACCCACTATCGCTGCAACACCGAAAGTGCGATGCGTTTCAGGTCACCTCGGTAACGTTAGTGTAGGTTCACCGGAAATGAATGACCGTATGGAACACGAAGGTATGGCGCAGGGCGCGACGTATTTTTCGTTTTGTGTGGTGACGGCGCTATGCAGACTGAAGGGGCCCACTGATCTGTGGATGAGAAACCGTCAATGCGTCGTAATTGACGGCGTTAGATGCCATGTCTGCCCACTGGCCGGCAGGTTCGGTTTTGGCTCGATGCGGCCAGCAAAACCATGCAGTTCTGGTGTCAAATCAAAAGAAATGAATAGTGTGCCAAATTAAAAGAATTTTGCATGGATAGGATTGAATTCTTTGAAAGTATTCTTATGTTGCACGTATTGGGATCGGATATCAGCCGAAGGCGTCGAAGCTGCTCGCCTAAATCCTCCTGGGGATATTGTCCCCGTTCATAAAATTACGATAGTTATCGTAAGTTTATTTCCTTCTCAAAAAGTCAAAAAAA